TGTACCCCAGCACTAAATGCTGAAATACACAAAAAACAGGTCACTATACCAGACTTAACGTCCACTTTATCCAAATGAAGAGATTAATGGTCTGACCGCATAACGGAGCGACACACCCTGCCTACTAATGACAGTTAAACATCTGTAGATTAGAAGTCAGAAGTATTTAGCCTTTTTTTATTTCATTTTTTATATTTCATCTATTAGGTTCCAGATTTGCTATAATTTTTTAAAAAGGTCTCGTTTCATCATGTGAAAACAAAATTTTTTTGTTTAAAGTAAGCATTTGGTAAAGCTAGCTGAAAAAATTTGTTATAATGTGATATTTTTAACAGCATGTTGTAAAAAAAAGTTCCTCCTGATACAAAAGAAAACTTGGTTTTTTAAGAAAATCATTGAATCATTGAAAGTTAAGATCAATTAACTTTCGATTAAATCCTTAATTGATAACATGCATCAACAATATTAACCCGTTTAGTGCAAAGGACACCTTCTTTTGTTTCAAAATTCTAATAGTGAGATGAATAAATGAGCGCTTGTTTTAAAGTAAGTCCAGCTCAGTCCCTAATGTGATGATGATTAATGGTCCTTCTAATTTTAAAGTCGTAGGGAAGTCTTATTTAAATGTTAAATCATTCTGGCTTAAACATGTTTATAAATTTACTCTTTATCAGACCATATTGTCCCAAAATTTAGAACATTTCTATAAAAAAAAAATCCTGTCTTAAAATCTGTGGGGTTTTTTCGTTATCTTATACAGGCCAGTTAGTTATACGTCAGCCTGAACACCTAAATTTGGCCAATCATATATCAACGGGCATCTGTGAATCAAATTTTTTGGGCAAAGCATCGTGATTCGTATGTCGCAGCTAATATACGCAATTGTTAAAATAAGAAATAAGAATAATTTCCTTTCCCATTGAGTTCCGTCCCAGTGTTCACGGGGATGGACGTCTCTGTCTTCAGCAGGCGTAGAGCTAACAGAACTGGCAGCGTTGCGAGGCAAGGGCTCAAACATGTACGGCTGGAAGCCTTCTACACCAAACCAAGCTTCTGCCGCCCTGGCGTCCTCTTCCACAACATCTTCATCCCCGCTTTCCTCTTCTAAATAAAAAATGGATGACGGAGGAGACTCATCCACCGCCTCCAACACAAAACTCTCCTCCTCTTGCATGTTTCCTCTGTCCATAGCGGTACTTGACAGTGTCGTTTCTAAGTGACCAATTTAGTGCTACTTGGTCCCAATGGAATTTCCCATTGGGAACCTGCTAGCACTAAGTTGCTACCAATCACATTCACTTTATTCGCTTATTAAAAGTCGTGCACAACTTGGGAGAATTAAGAAATGCAACGGTTGGAACGGCCATTTCCCTACGACACTAAGTAGGTGTTTTGAGAGAAAAATGAAGCATGAAGACCCTTCTCATGTACAACTGTCCATTGGGATGGAAAAAATCCTTGATCCATGGTTTTTGTGCTACAGTGCTTTCTGCAGCACTGCTTTAGGGTAAACTTTCTTCAAACTGATTTACGAGACCCACAACTGATCTTCTTCCCATCCCTTCCTTGGTCACCTCTGCTACTTGGCCTATTTGCTGGACATGCTGACTGATGATGCCCTCAGGTTCTACAAGAGAAACACACATCACCCTCTCCAGCTGTTGTCAGCAGCTCCTAGCTTTGAGCTTGATGGCCTCTCTAACTGCATTCCTGCCCCTCTCCTGTCACCTGGGCCCTGAAAGGCAACAAATCAAGCAGCTAATGTTGTAGCAACCAAAGGCCGTTGTGAATGACAAACGCTGCTCCTCAGAGATTAAAGATTTCTTATCTGTTAAACAATCAAACTATTTTAAAGAGAAGTCATGGTGGGATGAGGCCAAGCTGTGAGGCAACATTATTCTTTACTACATTTTTAAAACGTATCACCCAGAAGTTTTATTATCTACTCAGAACATTCCAGGAACACCAGTTTCCTAACTCAAATATTTTGCAACAGCAGACATGTAGCTTTGACTTACTTTCATAAAAAAAAATTGAAGAAAGAAACAAATTATTTAATACAAAAAAAAAACACAAAACAATCCAATGTTCATTCGTGTATAAGCCTCTCTGACCTTTGACCTCAATCCCATCCATTGGAGGATGTCCAGTATTTTTTTTTTTTTTTTAAACACAGAGCCAGGAGACTTTTCAAACTGAGGCTAGTTTTTCTGGAGGTTCCTTCCTGTTAAAGGGGCGTTTCTTTCTCCCACCCTCACCTCGTGCATGCTGGATATGAGGGATATAACACAAAGCAATCACCTGTAAACTGTTGCTAACTTTTAACCAAGAATAAACTGAACCTGAATGCTATGGTTGCTAATAATTTAGAAGGCATTTAGTTGACGTGAATTTAAATTTAATTAAATTTTATTCAAAACAGCCTAATGACTTTAAAACACATTTTTTAATATGTAATACATCTTTTGGTCTATTATTACAGATTTCATCAGTAATATGAAATGCAGTTTTATGTGTCTTGTTACTTTCTGGTAGAAAATAAAGTATATTTACTTGATTACTGTACTTAAGTACTGGTTTTGAGTATCTTTACTTAAGTGTCATTTTTTGGGGGCTTACTTTCTACTCCACTACATTTCTAGGAAGCCAAACGTTACTTGTTTCTTTTGGCTCAGCTTAGCTTTGTGATCTACTGTTGCTTTTGCTGTGTTGAAATGCAATTTAAACATGCAAGATAGCAGCTATTAGGACTGAATAAGGACAAATTTTTTTGAGCTTTGCATGAAATTCCACTAATATGAGAACATGAGAACTCAGGGAAGATATTATTTGTAGTTTATACATTTTATCAAGCTGTGAGTTGTTGCCTTGTGGTAATAGATTCAACCATAACCTTCTATTCCATATTAAAAGTGTGAAGAGAATAAAGACTTTCCTGGTTTCTTTTGAAATAAGAATTAATAATAAAAATAGCTGTTATTATTTTGTGGCATTTTTATATGGAAGTTCTTTACAGATGGTGTGGAATTTGTAGCAGGTGGTTCTACGGATCAATAAAACAAAAAATACTATGAAAATTATACAGCAAAGTTCTGATGTTAAAAATGTACATATATTTTTTAACAATTAAATATTTTTGAATACCTAAGTATTCTCAAGACTGAGTACTTCAATACTTTAACTTGAGTAGATGTTTGACTGAGCAACTTTTACTTGTAGTTGAGTAAGATTTGACTGAGTATCAGTAGTTTTATTTAAGTACTACTGTCGAGTACTTCATCCCCCACTAAATATAGCAATATTGAAATGATATCGTATCGACCAAAATTAAGAAACATGATAGAAGTTTTGACTATATTTCTTCGCCCATGTCGGATTTTAAATTTACTCGTTACATCATCTCAAATAATTGAAAGGAGAAGATTAAGGTGCCAAAGAAAGAAAAATGTGCATGGGATATATATTTTTAGTATGATTTAAAAATAATTACTTCAGTAAAGCATAGAAAGGCAACATTTCTACTTAAGTAAGGTAACAAAGTATTTGTACTTTTTTACTTGACATCTCAGGAAATAACGGAGAAAAAGTAACAAGTCATCAGAAAAATAAATCCACAAGTAAAGTACAGATACCAAAAAATTCTACTTAAGCAGCATAATGAAGTAGTTAAACTTAGTTATTTGACACCTCTGCTCTGAATGCTCGTCCACATTAGGACTGACCGACCACAGGCACATCCTCACCCAGGTTTGAGCGATGGTGCTGTCAATATCAGCCCTATAATGAGTGCAGCTCTTTCAGTTTTGCAGTTTCCCCAGTGGGACGAGATGAAACAAATCCTCACCACAGTGCTCGCCTGTGGCCGAGCAGAGTGCAGAGATTTACAGCATTTGGGCAGACATCCGTCTCCCCTGCAGTGGTCATTGGCCCATGACATCTACAGATTCCATCTAACTGAATTAACCGTTTCTCCCAACACGGGGATGTAATAATAGCCTCTTAAAATCAACTCCTGCCTCTGGATGAGCCGGTAAGGAAGCTCATAATTTAGCCGTTTACATACCTTACAAGGAAAACAAAAGTTTGGAATATTTATTAAAACAATGACAGGGGTTCTACTCTCCTAAATGAACTTTTCTTGTTCAGCACAGAGAAAAAACATTCAATTGCCGTTTGCTTTCTTTCACAAAATATATCTTAATAAACTACAATTGAAGATTGTTTCAGGTTTTGTACTCAAAACCATAAAATCCGTGTTTGTGGAGAGAAAAAATATGTTTGAGCAACCGAACCCCCATCATGCTTCCTATAAACTTTGGCTGATGGTAATCCCACAGCTAGGCTGGTCCCAGAAGAACCCCCTGCAAGCCATTTTTGTGTCGTCACACAACAGCACACAAACACACAGACAGACAGAGAGACAAAAACACAAACCTGAGGCTAACCTCTGAGCCTAAGTGCTTATTGTAATGTTAAAAATGTGTTTCAACAGAAAAATAAATAAATAAAAAAGTCCAGAACTGACAACAGTATGACAGACTGCAGTGTGGTGAGGACCCTGAGGAGATTCGGGGTCAGGTTTTTAACAGATTCACGTTGGCCAAAGCTGCAAACGAACAAACGCCCTCTGGTTTTGTGATACGCAACTGTGGCGACCGCTCAACAATTTCTAACCGTGCAATTTTCAGCAACTTCAACACAAAAATGCAGACCCCTGGGGAGAGGATAAACTCCTGCAACTAATTGACTAAATCAGAGGGTTGTCTGACTTGGTGTACATTAGCAGAGAATGCGGCGTGGACCACCCTCTTAGAGCGTGTGTTCACACTGAAAGCTGGAATCGTGACAGAGAGCTTTTTAAACCATAAAAAAAAGGCTCCTAAGTTATTATCAGACGCATGTACAGTTTGTCCAGGAGCAGCAATAAATTCAATGTTTAACGGTCACACTAGTAAACATTTATATGTACATACAGACAAATAAAAGCTATACACACATACCCTCCTTGACTTCTTCTGCGGGGGGGTTTGAACGCTCCTCTCTCCTTTGCTTTATGGCCTGTAGCTCCTTCTTCAGCTGTCGGACCTCCTTTTTCAACTCATCACTGTAAGCAAAGAAATAAACTTTATGAAAACAAAGATACAGAGACATACAGAATATTACCATATCAACCAGTCCTAGACCATAGATAAACAGGTAGAGGGTAAAGGCCAATTTATGCTTCTGACAGCTTAGCCTCTGCAACCTTCAAATCTGTCTCTGTGCGCGACCACGCCCCCTACGCAGAGGTTTTGCAACCGTCGGACAGTCGCAAACCCGCACAGACCTCAAGCGGAAGTGCCCAGACAAAAAGCAGCTGTAATTGGTCCTTGGTATGCCTTTCCGGCTGTCTGTGTGGTCGTCCTTCTTGATTCAGTGCCGGGGCGCGCCATTTTTAAAAACCGAGGCACAACTACAATGGACAACTACGACGAAAGGTTAATGGAGGAGGTTCGGAAGTACAACCCATTATAGGATGCCTCAGAAAAGACAAGCCAATGTCTCTGCCAAAATGAAGTTCTTGTGACCATCCGCCTAAGTTCTTGCAAGTTCTTGAATAGGCTCCCCCTTGCTGTTTGGGGGGAAACTGCTGTGCGTCCCTAGAAATTCCAGACCGACGGTACAGAAGCATAGCAGCAAAACTGGTTCGCGATCAGATCCAAGCGACATTTGATGTGTCCGGTCGCAGAAGTCTAATCTGCCCTTGAAAATGCTGAAATAGAGGCCAAATGTAGCATTTTATCTCACCGGCTTCAATTGCAAATAAGAAAATATACTTTGAGTGGAGTCGTCCCAAATATAATTAAGCATAAGACTGCCATGAAAAAACATTAAGGATGCATTTCCAAATGTCATTATTGATCATCAGGTTTATATTTATAAAAAATTCATTAATAACTAGCATGTTAAGTTACATAAAGTCCAATGAGACCTAACTGCTACCCAGCATGCATTGCACAGGTGAAAAATATACCAAAGTATACATTATTTAAATATGAGCATAACAGACTCCAAATTTGAAATGAATAGTAACATTACAATATATCTAGGCTAACGTGTTTAACTGATCCCTGTAAAGTTAAAGGAATAGTACACCCAAAACATGATTAGCCTTCATTTTCTACTGACCCCCATGCTGAACAACACTCTGGAGTACTTTTTTGATATCTCAAATGCATCTGGAGATCTGGGAGGCTTCTTGCTGTCTGCTGACATTCAAATAATGGAGGTCTATGGTGCCCGAGACAGAAAGGTCCATAAAAGTCCACAAAAAACGTGTCAATATTCCTCCATACTGCTCGTCCAATGTATTCCAAGTGTCCTGAGTGGGTAGCATCCAGAATTTACTCGAAACGAAGTCATTTAGAATGTTTTTAGAGCATAAACAGTAGTGTATAGGATTTCCTAAAAGCGCGTTCACGAGTCTACGGAAACCGCGGCAGACCAAACCAGACGAATGTGCGCATTCAGCTCGGCAAAGAACTCATGCTCTTCCTCAACACTGAAGTCCTCAGACATTTTTCTTTCGTTGTTTCTTTCTTTGCACAGGTAAACAGCACATTTCTTCTTCTACACTTGCATTATTGGCAGAGCAGACGCTGAATGCGCTTTCATCTGGTTTGGTCTGCCGCGGTTTCCGTAGCGTCGTGAACGCGCAGGCGCGCGCTTTTAGGCGCGTTACCCACTCAGGACACTTGGAATACATTGGACCGGCAGTATGGAGGAATATTGACACGTTTTTTGTGGACTTTTATGGACCTTTCTGCCTCGGGCGCCATAGACCTCCATTATTTGAAGCTCAGCAGACAGCAAGAAGCCTCCCAGATCTCCAGATGCATCTGAGATATCAAAAAAGTACTCCAGAGTGTTGTTCAGCATGGGGGTGAGTAGAAAATGAAGGCTAATCATGTTTTGGGTGTACTATTCCTTTAAGATAATAAAGTAGAATTGAAAAACCTTTATTTGGAAATTTTGGATGTTAGAGTTTAAAAATTTAGTTCAATTCAATTCATTTTATTTATATAGCGCCAATTCACAACATCTCATCTCAAGGCACTTTACAGTTCACCAGAACATCCAGTGAAATTGATTCAAAGTTTTCTATCTAAGGAAAACCAGTTGATTGCATCGACTCATTGACTCAAATACAATCCCTCACACTAAGCATGCTTGTAGCGACAGTGGAGAGGGAAAAACTCCCTTTTAACAGGAAGAAACCTCCAGCAGAACCAGGCTCAATGTGATCGGCCATCTGCTGAGGCCTACTGGGGTTCAAGGAGACAGAAGCAGAGACACAAAAAGCAGCTGTAAAAGGCGGCCCCCGTCCAGGAAACACACAGCCAGGCAGAGGAGCTCCAAGCCAGCTCCCATGTCAGAAGATGAAGAAAGCAACCCAGTCACAGAAACAGGACCACACTGAAAAACAGGCTGACCCCGAACATATACAACAAAGGTGTTGATGGCAGCAGCACAGCTGATATTGCTCTCCAGGATGGAGTCACAGCCAAACAGGAACAGACGCACAGAGAATCTCAAAAGTAACGTGACAAATAGATGGAACAAAACTGACTGGTATGCACAAGAGTATAATATATATTTAAAAACAAACTACAACTGTATAGAAAATGAAAAAAACCCATCAAAATAAAAACAGTTTGTGGCTTTTATTAAATAGAATATTTAGGTCAAAATAATAAAAATTTTAAAGTTGGGAATAAAAAGGAAAATGGTTTACAGAAAGCTGAAAAAATTTCATAAGAACCATAGTGGAAAAAAAAATGAAGAATAGGCAGAAAAAATAAATTGCAAATATTTCAAAACTATCAGCTTATAAAGACAGATTTTGGATGTTGTGTCTGTAATCCGTAATAACCAAGCAAGTCAAGACCACTACGTAAATGACAGAAAAAAGCTATTATTGAAGTACTAGAAAGCTTGTTAACTGTATTTTAAAAGCTGATCATGAGAAATTAAACTCCAAGAAGTGGGTTTGTATCCCAGACTCACTATTTCTCTATAAAGTTTGTTCTCAGGAAGGATGCAGGGTTCTCTCTGAGTACTTTATTCATTCTGGGTTAATTTGTCTCTAAAGTGTCCACGCTTGGTGATGGAATGACGACTACAAAAATGTTCTGCAGTAGAGAAACTGAAAAATGTTAGTGCCAGAGGTAATAAACAGACTTTATATTTCCTTTGCTCAAATTGGCACTACGTTAACATTTACAATTAACGCTTATTGCCTCTCTCTCCAATAAACATTAAACAGAACAGCAGATGCAGGCAGAGGCATTTATTTCACACAAGGTACTGTCCCTGTTGGGTGACGGCCCAAACCAAAGGAGGCCATCAATGCCAGATATTGTTCTCTGACATAAGATAAAAGAATAATAGTTGCATAGTAGAAATGTTATGTCAGGAAATAATAATATTGTTGTACTGCCTGACAACTCCGTTTTGGTCCCACTGACTTGCCCAAAAGCACAGGTAAGCTGCAGAGTCTGGGCTCTTGGCCCAGAAGCAATCTCCAGAGCAAACAATGGAAGCGTTTGTTTCTTACATCTGCGGCTCTGGACTCACATTCACTTCTTTCCTTTTCTGTACTTTTATCTAAAGATGTTGTTTACTCGTTTGAAGCTCCCGTTACACTTTTTAAATTCAGACATTGTCGGGAGCAAAGCAGCAGGTTCTATATCATGCTTTTTAGGCCTTCCGAAATCAACTGTAGGCATAAATGTCGAGAGGGGGCTTAAACTAGGCTTAAGCCTACCTTAAGCCTAGTTTTATGTAAAACTAATAAATCATTATTAAGCTTATTGCTGGACTGACTTTTTCTATCATGTTACAACTGTTTTGCTCAGGGCCTCACATTTTTCTATCATAACATCCTCACCTTCTAAACACAGCTGAGAAGTCGACGCCGCTCCGCCATGTTGCACGGCTAAACGGGCGCCATATAGGTGATAACAGCAGGAGTTCATCTAGTGTTTATATTAACAAATGGAACAAAATGAACTTCACTCTGCATAAATATCTGCCAAAAATTGTAGATGACCGCAGACAGTGCCGCAGGGTGGAGAGAAAGGAGGCCTCTGATTGGTCAATTCTACATCTGCTCTACACTATGCGTAATTAATGTTTGGTACCTAATGGCAGAAACTAGCTGTAGTGTCGTTTACAACATCTGGCAAACCTTGGACACTATCCCAGACACCGTGCAGGATGCTAGTTTGTAGCTCTGTGCGACGGTCTCTTGCGTTGTGGCGTGGAATAACATAGCGACGACCACGCTTCAAAATAGGGCATAAATCAAAAATATCTGCGTTATACCTGCGACAAGCCCACTGCTACATGCTGGGAGTATAACCAGCCAGTTACTTCATGGAACTGCAGTATAGCTTCGATTCTAGTGATTCTGCTCTTCTTTGAGAAGAATACTTTTAATGCTTTAGACATTAGTTTAAAAAAAAACAATAGTATCTGTTGCTGTTCAGATTAGCTACAAATTGAGCCTCTTGGTCTCAATTTTAAGCAGAAACGATCCTGCTCTGCCTCACATTACCACATGTTGGAGACAGTAAGGAATGCTGTTTACTGTGCAGTAGGTGCTTCGTGGAGGGGGACCAGTAATCCCTGTTCTATGCATGAAAATTAAACCAGGTGAAACTCAAACTTTTCCAATTGAGGAGTTCTGGATAGAGCATATTGGTGGAAAATGTTTTCTTTTTTTTAATCTAAAATGCTAAATGTTTGCATATTTCTTTTTACAATCTTGTCTTAATTACTGGTTTAAGTGGGTTGCTCTTTCAGCTAAAGGGATGTTTTAGAGTCTCTCTACTCCAGTTAATGATTAATTGATTACTAAATTAGTTGTCAATTATTTCAATAATCTATTAATCATGATTAATCTGATTAATTGTTTCAGCCCTAGTACACCTGTCATCTATTTCAGTGTTTCCCAACCTTTTTTTTTTAAACTTGTGTTCCCCTTTGGGCATGTTGTCTTACCAGGAGTACCTCTCTAAGTCAAAAGTATTGATGATTGTCCAAAGGTGGAATGTACAATAA